CTATTGAGAAAACAAATCACCGAGGAGATAACGAACTCGAAGCACCAATTTGGCCTACACCCAGTGAAAATGACATTGTCCATCTCCACAGAGGTAAGAGCTGACAAAAGTCATTAACTGTACTTTGTAAGGTCTGTAGTTCCTCCCTATGTTCGTTTGCTGTATGAAAAAGCTAGTTGTTGGCTTCCTTCCATATGTTTACAAAGGTCTAGGCATAATTTCTGCAGGATAAATACAAGTAAATGCAATTTATCATTTTGAAGTAGAAGCAAAATAACCTAATATGCTTCTGTAAGCAGGAAATGCATGCCTATGCTCTCGATTTCTACTTAAATGCAGAAAAATACTCCTTTAAATAAGCTTCAGCTTGTAATATATAATTATGTAATGTGATTCTGATAAGAAATATTGGCAAAGCAAACTCAATCTATTAAAGTACTGTATAAAAATGTATTAAATTCAGTCAGTTTGAGTCTCCCATTTACATTAGGTAGTACTTATTTGTAAGAGTAAGAATGAATGACTTCAGTGGCAGTATCATCTTGAGAAAGTACGGGACAACTGGGCACTTAACCAAAATGTTTGTTTAATAAGTTCTTGCAGTTGACCACTATACAAATGTATTAAAGTCAACACACATTTCTTTACCTTTCTCTCCCTCCCCAACTATGATGGGTGTTTTCTTCTTCAAATAGGTGGTTTGAGTGAAGTTATTGAAGGAAGAATTAAGTTTGTATTTTGTTCTGAAAATATTGAGCTTTATATCCCATTAATTCCATGGGAGAGTAAATTGTGCTAGTATGGGTCATTCTGAGAAAGTTCTATTTCCTACACATTCATGTTGTTGAGATCATGAAGTTCCATTTCCAGAAACTTGTAGTTATCATGAGAACTAACAGTTGTACATACACAGAAGGCCCTTTGAGTACCTTGGGCCAAACTCACAGGCTAAGTACAGACAGTCAAACAGCCTAAGGCTAAATTGATTCAGTCTTTGCAGGTTAGTTTAAGATGCAGAAATTAAATTGAGAAACAACTGAATACGCATTTACTTTTGAATCAAGAAATACAGTTGCATGCCTGCAGTTGCTCAGGCCAGAAGCTGGGTGGGTGCTAGAGCATGGCTTTCTGGCACGTAGCCAGCATGGGTTGTGTGTTCACTTCTTCCTGCTGCCCCCGAGGTCTCTGGGATTTGCAGTGCACCATCACAGCAGCAGGACTCGGCAGGGTTACTCGTCACTTCCTCTTCCTGCTTCCATGCGACTCTGGGCTTTGTAGTCCACAGTTGCAGCCAGCAGTAACTTTCAGTAAGTTTAGCAGGCAGGGCAGCTCTATACGTGGAGGGGGACAAGTTTCATTAACTGGTTTGACCCAAATCAGTTAAGTCTGATACTACATTCAACCAGGTTTATTTTAAACAAGTTTCAGCCATTTTGAAACTGGTTTATTTGCACTGAAAGTCTGTTCTGTTACAAGTTCAAACCAGTTTCTGATTACTTAAACCGGTTTGTGTGTAACTTCTGTCCCTAGCCAGAGATGAGGACTGGAATCTTCATTTTTGACCTGATACTCAGTAGAGAACCAGAAAGGACAACATAGTACTATGATGATGCAGTCTAGGAGCCCTGTCTTTCTACAGCTATAAATCTGTCATAACCAATTTTTGTCTGAGGTTCATTAGCTTCAGAAGACATATCAAAATATTTTGATTCATACTAATAGCCAGGACAGCCTACAATATTAATGCAGAAACTGCTATATGCATGTCACATAGCTTTGAGTAAAGCCAAATGCATGTGTTAAATTATAGTTTGGTAATTTAAACCTTCTATCAAAACATCTGTGAAGTTCTATTCATCACAACTTATCTAGGTGGTGAACAGCCTGGTGAGTCCAAACCATCTCCATTCAGCTGTGGAATTACCAGTCTGCATAAAATGGTTTGGATTCAGATTAGATTATCAGCCTTTGTAGTACCAGCATAGCATCTGGGGGAGATAAATGCCAACAGTCCCACAGAACAAGTGTCTGGTGTGATGAATGGTGCTTTGCATAAGAAGTTGAATGAATATTCATGTTAGTAGAGCTGATATTTTGCTTGAATTGAATGCCCTCAGTATTTCTTAACAGTTTTTAGTAAATGTTCAGTACAGTGGGTTGCTGGAAAAAAAATACTCCTCTCTGAGAAATATACATGTTGCTGTTTAACCACAAATCAGCAATAGCAAAGCTTGCACAATTGTAAAAAAAACACAGACACACACACTTTAAAATGTTTTCCATACATATTTTACTGCATGTGGCCAGCTTCTTTTGGAAGAAGGCAGGGTACATATCAACCTTACAGGTTAATATATATACACACATAGACTTTCAATAAACTCCAACTCACTTCATTAGATTCATCAGACAGCATCTGATGAAGTGAACTTGAATTCATAAAAGCTTGTACTCTTCGTCTGCAAGGTTCATCTCTAGCCTGCCCTCTTCTGGACTTCAGACTAACACAGCTAACTACCTCTCTCAGCTTTTGGCCAGCAGTATTTACTGGCTGATATGCCCATGACCCGAGTATCGTTGTGCTTCTAACTATGATAAGTGACCCCAACTGCTTCTCAGTTCCTGCTCATCTCCCAGGGCTAGGAATGGGAACTTGCAGTGTCAGCTTCTTCTTTCACTGCAGTTCTGTTATGCAAAACATTGCAATTAGTACTTAATTGCTAGTTATTTGTTTTAGAATTAAGATGTTTTAAAGTTTCCTTTTTTGTTTAGAAGGAAATTAGCTTCTTTGTATTCCAGGGATTTAGCTCTGAAATTGTGATCAGTCATAACAATTAGCACAAATCTTTAGGCTTTAAAAATTGCTATTATACAAAGCTAAATTTGTCTCACAATGATGGCTCTCCAGTGCTCAGCGTGTCCAAGAGTGGGGTAAGTGGAAAACACTTCCTAAAACTGAGATGTCAAATGTACAGCCCAAAGGCAAGACCCAGCCAAGTGAGCCACTTCTTTTGATCCATGGAGCTCCTTGTGGGACTAGGAATTAAGAGGCAGGGTCTGCTGCATAGTATGCAGTAGGCCTGTGCAAAGCAGCTAATATTTGCTTCAGATTCGGCTGAGTCGGGGGACACCGATTCAATTCGGCGATTCAAATCACTCTTCCAAATGGATTTGGCCAAATCTGATTTGGAGATTCGGTTGCTGTCAAATCTCAATCACACAGGCCCCATCCCTTGGCTGCCCTTTCAATTCAGGGCATTGAAGTAGCCACTCCTAAAGGTGGAGTTTTGTCTGGTAAAACCTTAGGCAACAAGAGGAGGAAGGAGCACTGGGACCACAAGAAAGAGATCTCAGCCCTCGGTCTCTTCCTCAAGAAGCCACAAATCCTTTCAAGTCTTACAGATAAAGGGTAGTACTAAGCCTAAAATACATCCAGACAAGCATCTGTCACCACATCTTAAGCTTTGGTTCCCTCAGTACTATTTAAGTTTCCTGGTACTGGTTTTCTAACCCCAATCTATTTGAAACCATCTCCCCTGGTACCAGTGCCATAAAAATAAAAACAGGCCTCGGCATCAAAACATTCCATATTAAAATCCTAAATGACATCTAAAAATCTACTGTCTCATCAGTACCAGACTTTCCACTATTAAGAGTGGTTAAGGTGCCTCCCCCATAACTGCTCCAACACCAGTAATATGTACATTGCCAACATCAGCCACAGCATAAGAAAAATATGGTACAGCTCCTTTTTTTTTTTAAAAAAAGAAAACACACACCACTCTCCTTTTCAGCCTCTAAGGTAGTAGAGAGATGTCACTGACTTAATCCTTTGAGTCCAGATATTTAGCTCAGTTTAAGTCTGAGAGAGAATCTAAAGTTGATTTTCAATACCCTAGGTCAGTGGTTTTCAACCTTTTCCATTTGCAGACCCCTAATGAAGTTTGAATGGAGATACAGACCCCTCTTCATTTTAAGTGTGGGTACTCGCATACTTTTGATTGATCATAGTCTTCTTTTGCAGACCCTTTAGGCATAGTCTGCAGACCTCCAGAGGTCCACAGACCACAAGTTGAAAACCACTGCCATAAGCAAACAGGCTGAAGGAGGCATGCTGCTCCCTAGTATCCCACTCCCCCTGGAAAACCATTTGCTGCTTCTACCCTTCCTTTCTCCCCCTCCTTCACCTGAGTGAAGTGACTCAGTCACTTCAGCCTAGTCATTTGGCAAGTGAACAGATTGTTCATGGCTCTAATGAGGAATCTCAAACAGAGTATCAACCTGTCCTGGCTCAAATACTCTCATTATCACTGGATAAAGATCTAGTCCTTGTGTCATCTACTGCTACCTCAGGTGACTGTAAGACATTCCAGAACATGTTGGAGATCCTAGGTGAGGATTCCAGGGGAAAAAGAATCACACGCGATTTGGGATCTGCTGTGTGCCCCATTACTTGGATGTCTTGCAGAGCCTGTCAGTAAAGTTTATAAATTGCAATGGAGGATGCTTGCCTCTCTGGCACCAACATCAAAGAACAGACAGTCCATCACTACTACGTTCCTTCTTAAGTTTTTGGATAATTTTGCATTCCATGCTAGGTTCATTGATTGTTTCTATGGCAAACAAAACTGGTCAAAGTAAACAAAGAATACAGTCAAAAGACAAGAAGCCTGAAAAATTTGTTTAGACAGAAAAGTGATTCACCATCTAAGAGCCACTAATTAGAAAACCCTGTTGGCAAAATAAGACTATCTGTATTAGACTTCCATGAGTAAATTCATAGAAAGTCTTCCTCAAGGCAACAGGGAGGACTTCAATTTACTGAAGATCAATTTGTGGCTTGCACATCTTCAAACAGCCCTAGATGCTGTGGATACAGGCTCCAATTCCATGAAAATTGGAATTGCTATAAAGAGATCTTAGTGGCCACAGTGTGGAATCACTCAGTTTCATATAACAACTGAGGATCTTCCATTTGAGGGATTTTAACATGTACATGCTAAAACAAGTGAGACCTTAGACTATGAAATCCAGTTCCTTACTTTAATCAGGAGAGACTCAGCATTGACATTCAGTGAACAGCCCTCAACTCTGGAACCCCAACACTTTGGTCTTGCAGAGCATACATTTGTCAATTTATGTACTATTATATCATATACTTGCAATATTTGTTTCTTTTTTTCAGACACTACCTAAAAAGGTGAGATAAGTGAAGAGATAAATTTGGATAATCTATGTGGCCTGAATCATAGCAAAATACTTGGCTTGATGAATTAAAATAAATGAAAGTAGAATGTCCAGTGTGCAACTGAAGTGCACATGAAAGGAGTCTCAATACCTCTCCAGCAAAAAAATCTAGCTAAATAGTCAGGCTTGAGTCTGTGAAGGTACTAAAATTCTTGTTCTTTCTAACCCAGAGAAAATGACTGACAAAGAGCATTTCTCACCCAAGGAAAAAGCAAAAAAGGGTAGTAGGAAACTTAGTGAGAAATGGCCACAAATAGTGGCTAAAGCTACAGAAAAAGTTGAAAGAAACAAAGGCTTTATCTACTGTAATCCACTCTCTCAAAAGAGATAAAAGGAGGAAATGAAAAAGTTTACCCATAAAACTGATACAGTATTAAAAGAAATAAATTTCTAGGTGTTTCATGGTCCATATTACTGTAGTATCCAAGCCCCTCTGAGTCTTGGAATGTATATATTCTTGCCATTCCCTGAAGAGAGTAAGTGCTATTATCTCTATATTATAGTATGATAAAAAAGTAGGTAGTTAAAGTGGAATCAAATATAGGAAAAGATGACAAAAGAATCACCTCAAGGACAGCCACCACATCAAAAGAAGAAAATAAACAAGGAAAGGTATAACATGAACACATGCCATCAGGAAAAAAAAAAAAAAACAAACACACACATACTCCAGGTACAATAATACAGGGTTAAGAGGACTTAACTTGTGGGGCTGAGAGGGATGGTCACTTGAAAATACTCTGAAATCATCATTCTAACCAAGAAAATCTCCAGCATTCCTATAGCAATTGAGGGAGTATAGAGGCATGAACCCTCTCACCAGATTAACTGTTAGGAAAATACAAGTTTTTTGATACCTTGCTCAGCACAGAAGCCAAACTTTCTTACCTGGCATATCTGGACCAAAAACTTAAATACCCATACAAGGGTTTGAGTAATATAGCGGGGAGGGTGTGTGTGTGTGTGTGTGTGTGTGTGTGTGTGTGTGTTTGTGTGCACGCACGTACGTACACACACTACTTATGGCATGCTCTGCTCTGCTAAACTAAGCAGCAAGTGATGTAATACAGTGATTCATTTCCTATGCAGAAGACTTCTGTCTTCACAGAAACTCTTCCAACTTATTTCCTAGCAGGAGACAATTGAAACATAAAATGGACATCAAAATAGGCCTATTCTTATCCCGATGCTCTAAAAAAAAATACAATATGAAAGGTTTTATTTAACCAGGATTTGAGGAATAAATAGATGCTGTGGAACTACCTTTGCATCCTTCCTGGACCCTACATTGATCAGGAATTGGCAGGACCCAACCCCCAAAAGAAATAAAAACTCAAAAAGGTGTATAAAAAGAAAAATATACCTGATGGAAATGAAACCTGATCAAAAGAGATAAGAGGTGCTCTTACTACCTTTCTATTCCCAGCAGCTACAATATTTAGAAAAGGATGAACATGAAAGGATAGTGTATGTATAATAGTTTACCAGTCAGATAAATTAATAATAAATAATTATTCTTGTGTTTATCTAATCGAGAGAGAGATGTAAAAATAGTTATCAGTATATCCAGAAATACATGAATAGCTGCGCAAAAATAACATTTCTTCCCCATCTCCAGAGCGACCAATAAGCCAAAAAGTAAATATGAGCTAATAGATCTGACATGTGCTTTGGCTCCATATTGTGAAACATTGCAGCTTTGAGATTTTTATACCAAACTAAGAACTGATAGAGTGCCAGATAATGAGTGCTGTATCACCATGTATATGCTGTAATTGCACAAAGCACAGTTAAATGGAACAAAAAAGCCATCTGTCATTCTACTTGGTAAATTACTGTTCCAGTCACAGTTATTTGTTCATACAAAACTAAGTTAACAGATACTCATTTCCCCTCAACTTCTACTTGTCCTGTACCTGGCGCTCATTATAGCGATAGGCAAGTCTTATAGATCCTTCCATCAGGTCTGTACCTTCACCATAAACTACTGAATCCATTCCAAGCCCTGGACTGTTCAGGTGTCTCCAGTTGAAAATACAATTATCATATCCAGATAAGGGCTGTTGATTGCACCAGTCAGTATAAGATAACATTTCAGAACAGATAACAGGAAAAAAAGCACAAAGCCAGAATACTGGTAGGTGCTAAGGCTGGTACTTTTATAATCCTATTCTTGTTTATGATCCAGACAGATCAGGATCACTTAAGATGTGATACTACTAACAAATGTTCTTGTTCATACCTTTCAGACATGAGTCATCTTCAGAGTGATTATAGAGAAGGTAAAGGACCACAACCAAATGAAGATACATCTCTCAGCTCTGTTGCTTGGGTGACAGTTCCTATCATGACTGCCCTGATTCTTATAATAGCCCTTCTGCTTGTCAATCAGAAAAAGCAGTGGATACCTGTGTCTTGCTACAAAGCCCCAACAAAGGTACAGTGAAATTTTTATATGTATGTCTCCATTTCTGAAAACAGGAGATTACCTGGAATGTATTTTAGGTACTTTTGAATCAATTTAATGTCAACTTAATTTTTTCCCTGCATCTTAACCCATGTTGCATTATTTCTTAACACTTGTACTCAGTTGTTATAATAAATTATTTCTTGTGTAATGTCAAATAAAAAAAAAAACACCAATTTGCTGCTCAATATGAATTTTCAGGAGCAAGAACCAAGATCAGCAGACAAACAATTCTGTGTACATAGTTGGCATGGTTAGTGTAGCTCTCATCTACTTTAAAATTTGCCCTCAAAGGATAGTTATTATGTGTATGTATCAAAACATTTTCAAAATTTTCTGCTAACTGCTATCTATACTGCTAAGACAGAAACCTCCAAGACACATTTAGGGTATAAGTAAATATGAATTAAACACCATTATTATTGATTGCAATTATAAAAATGAAATTGTATGAAAGCTTGGAAATTAATAGTGAAAAAACACTTGAAACACTATAGAAAAATCATAGTTATGGTTGCACAGAAAAGCTCAATTTTGACTTCGGTATTAAAGTCTATTTCATACTAAATTCACCAACACTCTATTTATTTCTACACACCATACACTTGCTTGGTCTATCTCATCCTAATTTATTATATGGACCACAACTTTACCATATAAAGATATACAGAACAAAAGCTGTTGGTACAAAAGCCATTGGTACTCCTCAGTATTAGCATATTATGAATGAATAAGTTATTTAACTAGAAATACTATGTCATTAAATGGTCATTAACTGATGATAGTTTTACAGTCTTTTAAAATGGCTGACCCGCCCCATCATGCTCTTTGAGGAAAAAACTAGGAATACTAGGAATCTGAGAGCATCCAGTTTCTTCTTCTCCAATGAAGAAATAGTAGGTGGCAACCATCTTGAAAAATGTAATTTCTTGGTAGAGTTCTCTAGAATAGTAATCTTCCATGGCTACTGGGGGTGGAAAAAAAATTTCTGGTTAAAAAGAACAATGCCAGAAATGCCCAGTAAGCCTTAAAGTCTTCCAATTCAGACAGTGCATTCATTTTTAGGGAGTTTTAATGCAGGGAAGCTTGAAGAATCTACATTATTCCATTTATGATCATTTGAGACAGAAGAGTCTGATGCAGTATCTGAAATGTCTTAAAGAACTGGTATTAAAATTCAAAAGCTAACTACTGAATTTACGTGTAAATTTCAGAAGAATCATTCTGTACCTGAAAGTAACTGTTATAATTTTGAGTATATACATTATTCAAATGTAACAAAGAATCTGTTTAAGTTCAAATTCAACTTTTTATATGGACCATGACAGTCCCTGGCTCTTAAACCTGAATGGTGTTTTTGTTCATTACCTTGTCAGTCATGTAAGAAGAAGAGAATTTTTCCAGCAGACCTCAATCACAGAGCACTGTCCAAAAGAAGTATTTTAGGAAAATGAGAAAATGGATAATATCTTAGAGGACAGAAGTTTGTAACTCCTGCTGATGGATGGAAAGATTTTTACCCTGACCCCAGTTTTGGTGAAACATTGATCAACTGCAAGACAATTCACTGTTAAGCTTAAAAAAAAAGCAAAAAGTTATTAACGAAGCATTTGTACAGCTTAACTGATGTTAATACATTCCCATAAGCAAAAGCCAGGAGTTGTTTGCCAAGCGCTCATTTTGAATGAGGGTCATTCTTTTTCATCTTTCAAGCATAGTCATTACAGAAACTATGCATCTGTTCCCATGTAGTTTATTATTCCTTTTACATTGCTGCCACTGAACAAAATCATATGCCAGAAGATATTTTTGAGCAAGTATAAGTTGCTGAAGCCAGTGATTTTGATTCTATGGAGTCCCTTTCTCCAACAGATTGATTCTTGGAGTTTCTAGGTCACATCATGCCTCTTTCCTTTTTGCAGTCTCTTCTTTACTTCCTATTTACTTTCCTTATTTTACTATCTTTTTTTATCCATGGTTCCTTGCCCCTCCCCTGACCTGATCTCTCTCTTCAGTAGTCCCACCACAGCCTTCTGTCCTACATGTGTCTTCTGTCCTTTAGCTGGTACCTATTCTCTCTTTCCTTACAAGAAAGATGCAAGTATTACAGCATATATAGGGGTTCAGTGAAATGCTATTAAGTGAAAGTGGCCAGAAATGTATTGGGGAAAAAAGAGAACATGGAGCCAGGTCTCAATCCCCTGAAGCTGGAAAGAAGGGCAAGCCTTCCTTTCAGGAGTGTTTGCTGCCTCCTTTGCAGGAACTTCAATACTGCTACACTTTTCCAAATTTAGTACAGAAGAATTTTAAAATGGCAGATCTTTGCTCTGTTAATACCCTGCTGTCATGTCACTTGAAATGTCCTTATATATTTAAAAATATAACCTTGTTTTGTTTTTACAAAAGAATAATTTAATTCCTTATAGGACCATATTTTGAACTTTCTTTACATGGAAGACCAGTTTGCTCCATAACTCAGCCTCTGGACTTTAGCAGGAGTCCTGCTGTAGGGTAAGGCGTTACCACTTAGATGTCAGGTTCTGGTACCATTATTCCTAAATTGGAAGGGTTATTTAATATTGTGTGTGTGAACAAGAGGACAAAAGTGGCAGATCAGATTTGCTATATAGTTACTCTCAATTTCTCAGAAATCTTGTTTTAGTAGAAAGAGTTAGAAAAAAAATCTATTTCTTCATTCTTATTTATTATAGAAGCATCTTTGTTTCAGTCGCTAGCAGCACTGTAGTATGTAATACATTCCAGGCAGAATGTGGAAGCCATTTGTAGGCAAGCTCTTCTTTGTAGATTTGTGAATTCACAAAGGGTCAAAGTTTATTAAAAATCTTTATCATAAAACATCTTGTCCTGAGAGTTGCTTTCTCCAGTAAACTTCCGATTCTTTCTCCTGCTCTCTGCTGGGTGATGGTTCCTAGTTGAGATACTTACTAATAAGTGTAGACATCTTGAGCTTCAATTCAATTTCTGGAAAGGTACTTATGCCATGCTTCACTCCTTAAGGACCACATCAACAGCAATACTTAGATACCACCATTGTTTGCCATGTATTCTTCTCTTTCACAATCATTCTTAAATATGTATGTGCTTGTGTATGTATGCATGCACATGTGTGTAATGATGTGCACATCAGACAAGAATGCAAATAACAGCCCTGGCTCAGTCATTACAATCCTAATATTTCATGCTTCCCTTTGCCTTCTGGCAATTTTGTTTGGAGTAGTCTTGCATCTCCTCTTTGTCATTAGTGTTCTAATAATTCAATGCCCGTTACACTTGCTTTGTGGGACAGGATTTTCTTAGCTACCTAGATACATTGAGTGCATTGCAGTGCAGCCAGCTTTAAGCCATATGTATTAATAATTCTCACAGTAAGACACATGAGCAATCATACTAAGAGATAAATTAATTAGGAAGTCCTTTATAATAGTAATAAATCAGGTTGCCCAGATCAGCAGCTTTTGATCTGTTGTTCTTTTTTAAATCTTGCCTTCAGTGTTTTAGTCACTTGAGCCACACAGCTAAATCCAGTAAACATGTTTTTTCCCCCCCCCCCAAACACTGACAGTTTAAATAGAAAACAAGCCACTTCCTTGAACCATGGGCAACACATGTTTAGAAAGCAAGATGAGAAGAAATAATTGCAGGAACGCTGACTATAAAATATAGTCTTACACAAATGATGTTTTACTTTATATCCAAAAAAACCCAAAACTCTGCAGAATAACTCAGTACAATAAAGCATTTAGGTTTAATATTAAGAAGTAATTCAACACACCAAACCAGAAGCCTGTATGATAAAATGAAAGGATATAAAAGAATACAGCTAAATGGGAAAATGTAACATAACCTGTCACAGAGTGGGGCCTAGGAGCAGCCGTGATCCCACTAGCGCCCCCTACCATGCCAAGTGAGCGATCCAGCACCCTCGATTCTCGCCTGCCACGTCTTGTTGGAATAATAGTTTGATATGGGAGGCTGCCTTAAGATCCCCTTGGTCACAGTGTACTGCTAATAACTGCCCCTCCTGTACCAGATGGGGTGACTTGGTGCAACCCTGGCCTTATGGGCTATGCGTGCCTCCTACCTCCCCTTTAGCACACCCCAAGCCTCGCAGTTGTTCCGGACGTTCTCATGTCTCCGATATACACACCCACTCCGGGCCTTTACCTGCACGCCCTGCCCTCTCCGGACTCCTGCTCGCGCGCTCTGCCCTTCCGAGCTCTTTAGACTTGCCCTCACCCCTTTCAGGGGCTTCACAATCGACTCACCTTTGTCTAGGGTTTCTCCCATAACCTCGTCCTCACCGGATGCTCTGATCTTATACGTGCCCTTCTCCGGGCTTCCAACTGCACCTTTCTCCTCCTGGCCCCGATCCGCACATCCACCCCTCTTCAGGCTTCGCTTGCACGCCTGCCCCTCTCCAGGACTCTTAACTGCGCGCTCGCCCTTCTCCGGGGCTTCTATACCAAACCGGTGCCACTCCAGTCTTCTACTAGACCTCACCGGGCTTCACTCTCACGCACTTTCCCTCCCTGGGGCCTGTGCCTCACGTTTCTCATACTCGCCCTTCCTAGGGCCTGTGTCAGCACCTCTCGCACTCTTTCCCTCGCTGGGGCCTATGTCCCACACTCCTCACACCCTCGCCCTTCACTGGGGCTTGGCCCGTGCTGAACCGCGCTCGGGGCTCAGGTGGCCCATAGCTGTGCCTGGCCCCTTGACCCTTCTCAGGGTTCCTCGCCCTACTGGGCCGAATACCGCCCTCACAGGCTGGGATCTCAACCCCCACACACCGTACCACACTGGTGCCAAACAGCTGTGACTCCCTAGCACGGCTCATGCCCAAACAGGGCACCCAGGAAACCCCCCCCAGACCACTGGAGATCTCCTGCAAGGCCTCCTCACACCCCTACAGCCTTACCCAGTCCTCCGGTTCTATACACAACAGAACCATA